GTATCAACACTGTAGAGATATAACGTCATGGAAAATGAACAGTATGACTCAGGTACTTGGTGGTGTCGGTGTAGCTGTTCACGTCCCAGAAAGTGTATTTACAAAAGGGAAATATAATCGTGGGGAAGTGAGGACAAATCAGACATAGGTGCTGGGATTAGACGACACAAGTGTGGAGAGGGGATATATGCACGTAATACCTGATCGCAATACCAAAATTTAGTACTACCTGGGACAACTATACACACAGACTAGTGGAGTAGTTATAGCCAACTTTCTTCTCTAGGTTACATTTGCAATACAGTAAATTGCACAAATGATTTTGTTAACCCTTTCGATGGGATATACACGAAACCCATCGAAAGTTTCTGGAGTCACTTAAATAAAAAGGATTAGAACGGTGAATGGGTCACGAAACAGTATATATACAGTCATTTGGATGAATTTATGTACAGAAAATGGTTCAGACCATCACTGAAGACTCCAATAAGGAATTCGATGTTCTTGGAACAAATACGAGAATGTAACACGGTATAACTATTTTTTGGCACTTTGATTTCTACAAAAAAAATCGAAAATTACGCATTTTCACCATGGGTTCATCTGATTGGTTGGTGAAGGTTGACCAGAGTCATTATGACAGTTGCTCGCTTAGTTTACTGTAACCACACTAACTACTGCAACAATAAATCTCCAGACTGCTATCCTACAAAGTGTACTATAACTGGATAATAAGAATAAAAATAAAGGAAATGGATGTTCGATACGTGTTTTATGCAAAAGAGTCAAAGAACCTTATCCCGCTGGGCTATGAAAAGGTAACAGTGGATCAATAAAGAGTGCTATAATTGAACATATAGTCAACACTGGTCATTCAATATGCAAGGAGAATTCATTCAAAGTCATCTACAAAGTCAAAAGAAGCCTCCCGAAAACGGTAAGCTTCCGTATACTTTACATTGCCGAGGCTGTAGCGATCCGGATAGAAAACCCTGGTTTGTGTACACAGAAGAAACTTCTCCACCCCTCCTTCTACCTTGGGTATAATTCCAAGTTCTAATACTTTGTTAATAAGGCCTTTTTTGAATGTTTTAATGGCATCTTAGTAACATCTTCTTCTTAACCAACCCTTTATTTACTCGTTCTACCTATTACATAATTTATTTTTTGGACGTAATGGACGTATCTCCATTAACATCCTATTTCATATTACGCAACCCTTGTCAATACTTATCAATCTTCACCCCCCCCCTAGTCACAATTTTGATTATTCATCACATTTTAGAAACATTTTGATGATGTAAACAGTAACCCTAACTAATTTTTATTTTATTTTTGTTTGACAATCCTAATGTACACGTACACACCCACACAAAATAATTATATATAAATGCGATTGTACAGCTAAGTGAATGAATTCGCCCACGAAAAGAGACTCTTCGCTGAACTTTGTTGTTCTTATAAATGGATGTCTCACAGCAATAAATATCTGAATACAATTTAGCAAGTTAAGTGGCGTAGAACAACACAATAATCGATTATTCCATCTTTCCTCACTTCTCGAAATAACCATCAGTTTCACATAGGTTTTTAGATGTGAACTAACGAATAGTTCCTTTAATTTTGCGCAGATATGCCTGTGAGTTTTAACTCCTTGTTCACGATTACGTTAAAACATTACAAAATGATAGTAGAAGATGTGAAGGAAACATTCTTTATTATTAGTCAGTTTAACGCTAATTATTGATCACCTAGATGGTGGATGACCAGTATCCAATAAGCTCAATGGGCTCATTTTTAATTTTGTTTGAATTTATCTGACTTTGCTATTTACTTTGATTACAGGTGATAAATCAAACCATTCGTTAGTGAATTCTACCACTACGTTAGTAATAACTTACGGAAAAATTCAGGTTGTTGGTTTTCGAATTGGGCCTCTCGCCTCTCTGTAATAAATATAAAATATGAGATAAAAGAAAAGATGAGTATAATTCACTTTTTTTTAATGGACTGACTTATTGAAGAGAAACTGGAATCACAACATTTCAACTTCTGCTTGAAAGAATCATATATTCTTTGTGCTAAGCGATCAGATGTCTAAGAGAGTACTGACAGTCCAAGTTAACTTAATAAATTATTTATCCATATATATATATATATATATATAGTGTATTTTTATTGACAATGATGAACAGCTAGGATTATTTCTAACAGTTTATCTCAAATCTCAGAATTATTTATAATTTACATTCAACTAATAATCATTTTCAAGTATTGGTTTGTGGGGATTTTCTTTGATTGGTTGGGGGATTTCATCATGAGCTGACATCGGTTAGAGAACCATTGGAAAACCTGCAGGGAGTACTGGATAGCTGTTTCCTCTGTCCTAGTTTGGGACTGTTCAGCAGTACGCACCCACCGCCAGGGTTCGAACCCAGGGCCTTCTGGTTACAAGGCGGGACTGGGACTCGCCAATCCAATGGCCGGCCCATGAATTCTAACTTCTACCAATTCACGACATAGCCACTATATTCGGGTAACTATCCTCACCTTCGACCCTCTGTTACTCATCGAAGAAGACATTGCTAAGTGGTCGCGCTATGTCTTGAATTGGCGGTACTCCCTGGTTTTCCAATGGTTCTCTAACCGATGTCAGCTTATGACGAAATCCTCCAACTAATAATCATTTATTTACATCGAAGCAATACAAAACATGATAACCCCCTTAAATGACTTCCTATAAGTAACGAGCTTGATTCTTAATTGAAATCAAGAATTCGGAAATCTGTCTAGCAAGTGGTAATTCATCTTTGACAAAAGCGATACTTTTTAAAGAACCAAACAACTCAAATTTTATGATGTAATTTTAAAAGGACATAGAATTTCACTGTAAAGAAGTAAGTGATAATCTTTGGCTTTTTCTTATGTCCTGTTCATAGACAAAAGTAGTACCATTTTTCTTTCGAATAAGTAACCATTGCTCATTCTTCACGATCACCTTTATTTTACCACATTTGTTTGAATTTAGTAAAATTTGTAAACATTTTATAAATGAGTCGTAAAAGCTCATCTTAGAAACAAATAACCTATTGCTGTTCAACAAGCTGGCTTTATGCAGTAGCCAGTGGTTTTAAAAGTTGTTCATTAAGTGGGCTTTTGAGTGCATTAACTTTATTCTTTAGTGGTCTGATGTAGCAACAGCAGTTTGATCCGGATGATTATAGTGTGGTGAGAAATGGCTGCTAGCCAAATCGGCAGATAGTAATTTACGTCAATGTTTACGTCCTCGATATTGGTCGAGAGAAAAATATGAACAAAGACTGATTCAACAACCAACCACAGCAGACTTTGCATAAGTGGATACAGTTAGCATATAGATGATCTGACAATCAAGAAACAGCCACGAAGAGATGAAAGATTAACTTTCAGTGAGAAACAACCAATCAGAAGACTGTGTTTTTCTGCTAACAATTATCTATAATAATGTACATGAAAATCTATAAATATGTGTTGATTTCCTCAATAAGGGATCTGTTGTCTGGCCCTTGTCTTCTGTTGTTACAATAGTATTAAGTTATTACATCTATATATCATTTAAACTGCGTCAAATTATATAAAGACAAGAAAATAGTCAACCAGAAAAGACTGAATGACCTACATCGGTTTTAAAGGCAACTTTTTTGTCATAGTGTTGCAGAAGTAATAGAGACGACGCAGAGTTTAAAGATGTTTACTCAGAAGTTTGAACCCCCTCCCTGTCAAATATAGAATCAAATCCAGGATTCTTAAATTTCTCATCTGGAACCTGAAACTCATCATATCTCAACTTTAAACAATTTGTGACATAGTGTAATGGTTGTCTTTTAAGAAGAGATATACTTCACAAGAGTGTATTTCGTTTTCGTAAACTGCTATGTGACATCTTAGCTAAATATACAAGATATGAAGAATGAAAGACTGCCGATTATCATGTCGTTTGCCTTCAATCTAGATAATATAAGTGATAAACTTTTTGACTAGACACTAGTCAGTAACTAGTATATGTGTTTGTGTCTAGTCCTATCTTTGGTGCAGACTGAATTATGTCAGTTAAGTTTGCAATGTGGCCACCATGCTAGGTGGCTCGCCATCACGTGATGGCCTTGCTAATGAGTGCCAACTAGCACAAAACCTAGGTCCAAGGCTTCCTGCCGATTGCCTCCAACCATCTAATACCAAAGTGATAAACTCGAGTGCATCTGTCTATCCGTTACGTGTACCTCGAAAAATTTACTTAAATGAATTCTGTAGCTCTAAAGTATATATATTGTTTTAATCCATCAAATAGCTATCAAGTAAGAATCATGAAGCATGTTCGGGACCCTTGTATTCAGTTTTATGGTTAGAAATCAATAATGAGTTTAAGTCTGGAATTAATTGTGTTCTCTGAGCTGGTTGGTTTAATTGCGAAGATTTCGTCCTCCTTCTGGACAACATCTTCAGCGCAAGTTTTAGCTAAAACAGACGAATTCCATCGAAAATTTCTGGAGTCACTTGAAAAAGAGGATTAGAGCAGTGAATACGTTACGAAACAGCATGATATACAGTCATCTGGATGAATTTATGTACAGAAATTGGTTCAGCGGAAGTTTTAGCTAAACTTTCGATGGAATTCGTCTGTTTTAGCTAAAACTTGCGCTGAAGATGTTCAGAAGGAGGACGAAAGCTTCGCAATTAAACCAACCAACTCAGAGAACATAACTAATTCCAAATCATCCACCTGAGCTACAAAATCTTCTCGATTATTTCGAGTTGAAATCTGTGTAATTAAATATTGCAGTCACTCTGATGTGAACTTTTCAAATTCATGTATTATGCATTAGATTCCAAAGAATGATGCTGATTATAGTTGAATGTTTAATTCACTTTTATCCGATCAAGAAGAAAAATCAGGGAATTTCAAAGTCATTTAATCATGCTTGTTATGTGGAACAATATTTAAAATGTATTTGTATTTTAATTTATAATCCAATTTTTAACTTACCTTCTTCTTTGAAAAGAGATTCCAGATAACTATAATGAGGATATGTTTGTTTCATTAATTTCTCTCTGATTATTTTTGGTTGTGGAGCGGGCCAGGTAAGGATATCATCATCTTTTTTCGCAGTTTTACGAACTACTCTTGTTTGTCTGTGATCTCGTTTCGATGGCTACAGAAAAAGAAATCGGTGGATTGTATGTTATATCTGAATAATTTGATTATCACTACTTTTTTTCAATGGAGATGACTTTTATAGGGAAAATGGACGATGATACGTTTCAGCCTCTCTAGTGGTCATAATCAATTCTTAGAACAGTTTTTTTTTATAAGTGTAAGTAGAAGTAGGTATAATGTTAACTAGCCACAGTTGGATTATTCATCAGAGGCCTATTATTCACACATGCTGCTCTACTTGTGTAAAATGAAATACTAAGAAAGCAATCAACACTGAAACTAATCAGAGTTAGTAAATTTTTATATATGTGGAAAAGGTTTAGCTGTATCATTAAGTAAGTAAGATATGTCCTTCATCAATGCTAAATTCTGTTAGTTCAGAGTGTAGTGTCATAGTTAATCAGTTTCTTAGGTCACTGAGTTCTGGACCAACAAATGAATAGCAAACATGTTCGCCCCATAACTTGGAGATCTTAAATTCGATCCTTTATAAAGTCTTAAGTGTACGCTGTTGAAGAGTTGCAAGTTATGAGGGAATCGATGCCCAGTGTGCCCTGGTTTCTTAACTGGTGTTAGCTCGTGACGAAATCTACACCAAAGTGGAAATGAAGAACCCATATCAGTAACTGTTTGATATTTTTATCCACTTTAACTCAATTAGCATTACAGTTTTCAAACAACAAATGAAGAAATTTAAATCATTTCACTTTATGCTAAATATCGCGCTGAAGATGTTGTCCAGAAGGACGACGAAAGCTCCCCAACTAAAGCAACCAGCTCAGAGAACACTATTAATCGCAAATCATCCACCTGAGCTACAAATCTTCTCTATTATTTCAAAACAACAAATGTGCTGACCAGTATGTATATGTATGTGTTTATGACACTACATTTCGGGTTTATTCTCCACAAAATGATTTGACAGAAGCTTCTGGAAAAGTATTTTTGAGTGTAAAAATGAAAACTAATAGAATGATGACTAGTGCAGCATATAAGTTAACACTGGCCAGCCTATTGAAAAGAATGAAAAGATTAGATCACAAGTAGGTTAACTGCACCTCATTCTTTCACTTATATACAAATAACTGCGACAGCCAAAAAGAATCATATACACAAAAATTGTTTATTCGTACTAATAATTTTCACTTGATATGTATAAACAGAATTGATCGGCTTCATATTGTTATATGGGCTCCTTGAACGGATGCTTTGGTATTACTAACTCAGAATCACTTGTTTCGTCGTGGCTAGTAATGGGATGCGGCTGGGTATACCTGGTCCTGAGCGGGTGATGGCTGTCGTGGCCCTGTGGCCTAGTAGATAACGCTTGGCGCTTGGTTTTAGTCTCAGTGGGAACAAATTCACTCTCTGCGGAGCAGATACATTCACCTAACAAGACCTAGTTGTCATCAAACAAGTATAGAAAACTTCATTTAAAACCTCATGCTAACTTTGGCTGACAGCAAAAGACACGCTGCTAAGCCATTCGAATATATAGAATCACGAATTTAGCCCAATTAGCACTCGATTATTTCGATGTATTCAAATCATCTAGCAGAATGCAGGAAATTATATTACCTATTAAAAAAGGTTATTCTAAAACTCGATTTCTATATGGTTACTAACTTTGCTGATCGTAATCTTGTGACAAGACACTCACAATTGTTACTAATTAGTAACTAGTCCGTTTTTACAAGGGTTCCGTCTATCTATCTATGACTCGATCACTAAGGGAAACATGTTCAAGTGGCCTAAACAACATCATTTTATTTAAGGTTTTAAACAAACCTTAGTAATCTGCACCATCCAGAATGAATGGTTATTATATCTCACTTTTGTATTAGTAACAAAAAACTGGTTATATTCACGTCTAAAGAGTGTGATATCGACATTGCAGCTAGAATTCTAAGAGTCCAGATGCTTTGAAAACAGTTCATTTTATACATCCGAAATCAGTCGGTAATTCGCTTCAAAATAATGTTTTACAGACTAGACATCAAAAAATCTACCAAAATCTGACCAAGAATAGAATCATAGCAACTCCATTTTTATACATTAAATATTCCCATAGTAAAATTTAGAACAACACATTTAAGCGAACAATATTGTTTTCAATTAGATCTCGTCAGGCTTAACTCTAATAAAAATAAGTTTACAAATAAAAATTCAAATATAAACCAATCATGGTGTTTTGTCTATAGGATAATACAAGTTGTGCAATTAGTCATAATAGTAGTAATGACAATAATAATAGTAGTAATTTTAAAAATGGTCTTATCGATAATAAGAATGAAAAAGTGAGGCAATTTGTGACAACACGAATAACGAAAAACAGAATGATTAAACAAACAAATGTTCAGGTAGGAGTAGTCGATAAAGGCTAAGAAAAACAAATGAACCGATTAAGTAATGTTAGATTGTAAGGGAAGGAAATGAAACACGTTTATAATGAAGATAAGATTAAGGGATGATAAGAAAGGGGTTGAAAATATAAACAAAGTGTGGTGTAGTGGTCATCAGTTGGTTATGTCTTAATAGGTCAAGGGAGGGATAATGGCTGTACGAACTTCTTTCGAATGCATAGTTTAGGTTTAATAGTTCGAATGCCTATCGCCTCAGCTGTGTGCAGTAAACGAATACGAAGTCTATTGGAAAGATTCGGTGGGATACGATGAATTACTCTGAAGGCTCTTGTTTTCTCGATTACATGACCACTATCAATTAAGTTTGACAGAACTGAGCCACGAATTGTTTTTGTCTGTCTTTTGCCAAACCACGATGGGAGATGTTCACTAACACGTTGGCTAGGCTGTCTAGTAGTACGCCCAATATAACTGTCACCGCAGGTGCAGTTGAATTGATAAATGCACATAGATGTGGCAAAACTATCAAGCTTATCTGTCGTTTGCGTCCCAATCATTCCTCGGCTAGAGAATGACAAACATAGGTGTGCTGCATAAAATGTTCTTCGTATACTCCTTGAAAGTCTTTGGAACAGAATCTCACTAGATAAGTCACCATTAAATTGTAACTTAATAAATAAAGGTTTCTTACGTGCAGTCAGAGTCTCCGGCTTTTTCTCCGATGTTTTCATATGTTTCTTTATGAAACTACTCGGATAGCCCATCTCCATCAAGGAATCGTGAATATATTCAAATTCCTTTTGTAAGAGGTCATCCGTACATATCTTTCTTACTCTGCTCGCAAGACATTTTACAACATTCCTTTTATATTTAATGGGAACGTAACTAAGGAAGTGTGTGTATTGCCCTGTGAATTTGCTTTTTCTATACACGCTTCTTCCAAGTGACCCATCTTCTCTCCTACTTAGCAAGATATCCAGGAAATGTAGTTTATTCTCCTGCTCCTCTTCACAAATAAAGGTAAGCGAAGGGTGGATGTTGTTGAATTTCAGTAACTCCATTTTTCTTTTGTAAATATCGTTGTCGATGGTGAATTGTATATTGGATGTGAATGTCATTGGCAGTTGTTTTAGATACAAGATCAGCAAACAACTACTCAAGTTATTCTCATCCATATATTCGCATAGAAACAGACAGCTTCTGTTACACCAGTAAAACACTTTCCAGTTATATTCAAGTATTTCATACAATGAGTGAACTCAGAATTATTGTGGATGGGGGGAGGGGGCACTTACATAACTATTTCCTTATGGGCTCTAGAATCTACAAACAACGAGACAGAATAGCTGCAACCTGCTTTTAGCAGATTAATCTATATTTAGTTTGAAAAACAGCGTTTTGGAGCCAGTAATTGAGAGACTTTTGCTTTATAAAAATGATTTCACTGACATCCTTATAGTTTGCCCTGAAAATTAAAATACATACCTAATTTTCAGGTCAGTCATTTATTCTCCATTTTTTCAAATTATGTGACAAAAATATTAGACAACAAGGAGTGTTGCATGACTCACCGGAAATGCCTTTAAATAAAATTCGGTTAAATCCAATCGAGGTGAAAGTTTCAACTTTCCAGCTGAAATATTAAAAACCGTGTATCAATATTATTATTATTCATAATAGCACCGTTATTACTATTTTAGAATGGATAATTTTTGTAAGCTTACATGTACAAGAATTCTTTATAGCATCTTCACACTTGTGTACACCAGTTAAAAAGTGTTCAATAGTTGGTCTTAGTATACGACCTTGATGAAAAGATGTTAAAGCTTCTTCAAAATCACCGCGTAGATAGTATATTTCACCAAGCAATAATATTGCCTTAAATAGTATATTATATTAGATCAGTTAAATGAATACAAACATGAGGATTTCTCTTTTCAAATTGTAGTACAGTTTGTACATCAGACAAGGCCTTGTCTAATTCAAATAATTGCATATAACAGTAAGCTCTCAATAAATACGACTTTATATGTTGATTATCTTCATCTAAAGCCTTAATGTGAATAGAATTATAAATGATTAATTTATTCAGATTACAACATACTAACTGTAAGTAGTATAATGCACGTTTATACTCTCCTCTGATTTGTAGTGTACGAGCAATTGCCCAATAGGCCTCAATTCCATTGAAAACAAAAAGTTCACTTGATTTGTCAGACATTATACAAGGATATCATTTATTTAACTATCTATGGAGATGTATATGTATATATACATATATTCCTGTTATTATAATTATTCTACACTTCATATTCATGTGATCATTACTCAATAGAATTCAAATTAAAATCAATACTTGTCACAGATATATAGTGTATCTGTAGTGAGAAATTAGAGATTAATCGTGTATTAAGTATGTAGATGAAAATAGCAGAAACAAACTGAAGTTAGGGGATATTGAATTCAATGAATTTATGATTAATATTCTAATATGTCTAACAGTATGGTTCATTATATGCACACTATGTTTCATACTGTTTTGTTGCCTTTGGATGAACCAATGCAGAAAAAGAAGGAAGATAAGATCTATGACAGTAACACAGACATCATCAGTAATTCCTCGATCTACTCAAATGTCAGAGTCAAGTTTACCGATAAGTCCACCGACGTATTCCACTGACAGTGAAGTATATCAGGGTGAAAAATATTGTAAATATGAAAACCCACCATCATATGCAAGTGATGTGCAGAATAATATCAGAAGTAGTACAAAGTACTTGAGAAAATTACTGAAACGAAAATATGTTTGCATTAATTTCAAGAATATAAAATGTATTAAATGCTGTTTAGTTACAGAAGAGGTGGACAATTCCCCGTATGTTTGGCACAGGACATTGGAACCGACTGGTTTATTTCTAGAAGCATCTGAACCGCCAAATTATTCAGACATAGAGGATATAGTACAAAATGTATAAAGATTTTGATGGAAAGATGTAAACGATACGGTCGCTTAACAAAAGTAAACCTTGCCTAACTGTTTCGCTTTTTCTTGAATTATGCTCACATAGTAGAAAATAAAAATGAACAAATTTAGACAGTGTTATCAGAAGATGAATATTATCTGAAAAATATGATGTGTTTGAGTAGTAAATTTCGAACAGCAGATTCACTTGTCCAGTCAATTAATATGAAAAATCAAGTGCCAATTAAAATAAAAAAATTGTTTATGGTCGTTCGCTCATATTTACCTATCTGGAAGTTTATCATACATACTGGGCGTCCCAATACCCCCACTGTTCTAACCCAAGTCTTAACGACTGGTCCTATTCAATTAACTTCTAATTGCATGCCAAGACTTCGTCGAAGCATCTGCACAAGAAGCCGACATGTCAACCTGAGACCGAGCACTTCGGTCCAATCAATCGACGGGTTCGAGCCTTGGTGGGAACATCATCACTCACTGAGGAATGCAGGCACATGCAGCCGACGAGTCCCGGATAGGACGAAATGCGCACTCCGGATTCCACTGCTAGTAACCATCCACCAAATAACTTCTAAAATTGATAAGAGATTTAAGAATAAGAAGGATAATAATAAACACCGCTTTTGGTAATATAATCAGATAATGATTACCAGGGTAGGCTAAGGGTAATAAAAGGTTGTTTCTCTACAGACAAAGGGAGGTCTTAATTTTACGGATAGCGTGTCTGTACAACCTATGCTATAGATGACGAGAATAAAATAGTGATGGATACACTTGTTGAAAACGGATATCACTTGGAACTTTCGAACTAGTGTAGAGGTTATGTAAAAATCATATTTGTAAAATGAGTAAATCCAACGTTTCCCTAGGCAATCTGGTTCGAACGTTTTCAGGAAAATTAATCGAAATTAAAGTAACTATGTGCATAAAAAGGATATTTCTTGTCTTTAAATACCTCAGGCTGAAAACGGTGTGCACTTTTTCGTCGGAATTTTAGTGATTACGTTCGACTAAAGGTCATAGTCGTAGATAACTGAGTACGAACATATATATATATACCTATATATATATATATATATACATATATACATATATATATATATATGATATAAATGGCGTGTGCGTGAGCGTGTATATGTGCGAGAACAAATGTAACTGAAAATAACATATTAGTCTATCCCTTAGAAGATACACACAATCAGATATTAAGACCAAGTATGAATCAACAGTGATTCATACAGATAAAATTACTTAATCAGCAAAAGGGATGTTTCATATCATATAAAATTTTCAGGTAACTGAAATAATGAGGCATTCCAAACGTCAGTGAATGCGCCCGAAAAATTTTGGCCCAAAAAAATCTGCAATGCGCCCGAAAATATTGCTAGCTGGGAGACACAAACAGTGAGTCCGACTGGTGGTGACGAACGCTCACATTCGACGAACTAGTCTCCCACTGAAAGAGTCCTGCGAGTTGAGATTGTCGAAGGCATTCGTCGCTGCCTGACACGAGTTGTGATCAGTGGAGTTTGACAAGCAATCGTTTAGCTTATGCTTCTCACCAATATTCGTCAGAAGTCATCAGAGAGACAGAGACTGTCTGTTTGCAGAATGCACATGGGTGAGTTTGGGAAATGCGTCAATTTTATTCGGATGAGGCGTGAGCAAGAAGTGGCTGAAATGCAACATAAAATATCCACTTCTTCCCATTCTCACCACATTGTCACCCACTCTTACATATTTCTCCCCACGACCTCAACCAGCAAATTGCCCATTATTCTCCACTTCAGCCAAGCTTTCACCCACGTTTCCACCTACTTTGACCATGTTGACGAGAGAACTCTCCGACCGGTTGATGAATGATGTGAGGGTAGAATATGTGTGTTGTCTAGCTTTCCGAATGGGGTGCTATGAATGATATGTGATGGCGGCTGATTGATGTGTTGTTGCAGTGTGGATTTTCTTCTTAGTTTGTTTCCGTCGTGGTGGTCGTTGTATTGTCTCCAGTGTTAGTTGTTGTAATGCTTGTGTTTGTTAATGTAGTTTTGTTGTGATATTTTCGTGATTGAATGATGTATTTTCGAT